ATCTATCTATCTATCTATCTATCTATCTATCTATCTATCTATCTATCTATCTATCTGTCTGTCTGTCTGTCTGTCTATCTAATAAAACTAGCTAGCATTTATATAGAGCTTTACAGATTGTCTTAATTGATTCTTACAACAACCCTATGAGGCAGGTGCTATTATCATCTCCATTTTAAAGATGAAGAAGCTGAGGCAGGTTAAATGACTTTTTCAGGGTCACATAGATAGTAAATATCTGAGGCAAGATTTGAACTTGGATCTTTCTTACTCCTAGTGCTCTTACCCACTATGCCGCCTAGGTGCCTCAACCATCTATGTAAGGTGCTGTGGGTGCCTGTCATATAGTAGGTGCTATGTAACTGCTAGCTATTATTAAAGTAGTAGTTAGATAACATAGTGGATAGAGCACTGGACTTAGAGCCAGGAAGACTGAGTTCAAATGTCACGTCAATTACTAGCTATGACCCTGGACAAGTTACCTAACCTCTGTTTGCCTCAACTATAAATTGAGGCTGATAATAACACCACCTCTTAGAGTTCTGAGGATCAGATGAGATAACATTTTAAACATGCTTAGCATAGTGCCTGGCACATAGTAGATGCTTAACAAATCCTTCCTTCTTCCTCCCTTCCCTCTTCCTCTCCTCCCTCTCTTCCTTCTTTCCTTCCTCCCATCCTCCATGCCTCCCTCCCTTCACTTTCCCTTTTCCCTGCCCTGTTCCTCTGTCTTCTTCTCTCTCCCCTCCTTCCTCCCCCCTTTCCCTTTTCCCCTTCCTCCTTCCTTTTTGCCTCTTTCCCTCCTCCCTTCCTCCCTCTCTCCCCTCCTCTTTACCCTCCCTCTTTTTCTCTCCATCCCTTTCCCTTCTCTCCTCCCTCCTTCCTCCCCCCTTCCTTCCCTCTTTCCTTTCCTCCTCCTTTCTCTCTTTCCATCCTTCTTTCTTTCCATCCATCCTTCTTTCCTTCTTTCCTTCCTTCCTTCCTTCAGATAGGCCACAGATAAAAACATAGAACATAGTCATTGCATACCTGCTTTAGGTCTCAATGGTGTCCTGAAGTAGACACTGGGGCTCCAATCACTCCAGGACCCTGCAAAATAGGTTCCACCGGGAAGTGACCGTACTTTAACCTCATATGTTGAATTTGGTTGTAGCTTTCTCTCCAGAAGTGTTACAAGAGGATAGTCTGAACTTATGTGCTAAAGAGTGAAAGATATAATTTTTGTCATTCTTATTCATGATGAAGAAATAGGTTACATTCAAGTTTAACAAAGTATTACAAATCAAATTTAATTCAGTAATGTTGCATTCTTATGGGCTTAACATTTGAAGATCCAATTCCTTGGAAGACTCTAACAGGTTTTAGCAAGCCCATAGGTGTTATATTGGGCAGGTAGACCTCCTCACATCACATTGTATAGGTGACTGTCTACTTTGTTAATGGTCAGTCTTGGCCAGAGGAAAAGGAAAAGTGGATTAGGTAAGCTAGACCTCTGAATACAGTCTATTTTATCCATCACTTTACTTCCTGTCTCTGAACTAAAGAAGAGAAGGCTGAGAAAGGTGGAGGATGAGCCAAGCTTAAGGTACTATATGTATAAACTTAAAGGATCCTCTCTCCTGAAAACCATGAGCCTGGCTGCAGATGATGGTAATGATCTCAAACCTGTGAGGATGCAAAAGGCAGGTAGAGGAATGCTTTTGGTTTGTAAGGGAGAAGCGATATCATTGTGCCATAAAGATACTTGGACTATTTCTTTCATTAGCCCAAGAGAGGCTATGACTTAGTGAAGACATTCAGGGACACTTGCATGTTCATTGTAGTGATAATGGTCCACCTTGCTTATGTATCCACCTTACTATGGTTACATTTTATATTATGTACTGTATTCCCTAGTCTTTCTCTAAGATAATTTGCAATGAGGAATCTCAAAAGTCATTTCCTCAGGAGACGTCTTGAGGCTGGGAGTTGGAGGTTGGGCCAATTCTGGGAAAGGGAGGGCGGGAGAAAGGTGACCACTATTGACTGGGCCCAGGACGTGTCTACTACTGAAGCTCAACCTATAAGCTGGTTATATTGAGGTCCAGAATCAGGAATATGGTGGGAGGACCATAACAGAACACAAGTAACAATTTTAAGACATTAAAATAAATTCTGAACTAAAACACCAAATAAAATGAGCATTTCCTTATACATAATAAAACAGAAGAAGAGGATTGTACATGGAATGAGATAATAAATTTTGAAGAATAAGAGAATGGAGGCAGAAGGAGAGCCTCTGTTTGATTCTGAAATGGGTAAGTCAGGTTTAAGGAGGTAGGATTATGGTGATTTAGCCCAAAGAGGATGATCTGGGAGAGGAGGGAGAGAATAGACAAGGGGAAGGTATAGACAAGCCTGAAGCCCAAGAGGAGATTTTTTTTGGAGGCTAGAGACAGAAGTGGCTTCCTCATCCAAGGACCCAAGGGACAAAGATCAAGAGAGGGCCAGGAAGAAGAGAATTGGTTTGGGGATGAGATGGGGGGGCGCTATTATGCGAATGTGAGTGTTTGTCCAAAGCAGGGCTTCTGGACATAAAGCTTTCCTAAAGTTGAGAGATGTAGAGTCTGGAAGAACTAAAATACCAACAAACTTTGCTAAAGCCAGTCTATTGATTTGAGAGCCAAAAGTGGCAGAACATTTAGCCTGCGACCGGAATCACCAATTTCTGGACAAAACCAAGAGAGGAGTAATCAGGCAGGAGAGAGTGAACTGGACCTCCTAGCCTGAGATCTGGCTGGAAGGAGCCACACTGAACCACTGACCTTTGTAACTTCATTAACGTTTCCCTTTGAGTTCAACTGAAAGCCACTCCATGCAAACCCTAGCAATATTAATTTTCTCATGTAATTGGAAAAATGGAAGCTTTTTAAACCAACCTTTAAAAGGGTGATGAATTATTTTCAGAGAGCAGGAGTTGGAAAAGATCTATTTGTTGTTCTGCTGATCTACTGGAGTCTTTCAAGTGTCTCAAGCCAGAGGAGGGAGGTGGTGTCAGCTACAGACTGGCAGCTAGATGGTGCAGTGGATAGAATTCTGGGCATGGAACAAAGAAGACTCATCTTCATGACTTCAAATCTGGCCTCAGACATTCACTTAGCTGTGTGACCCTAGGCAAGTCACCTAACCTTGTTTGCCTTAGTTTCCTCATCTGTAAAATGAGCTGGAGAAGGCAATGTCAAACCACTCCAGTATATTTGCCAAGAAAATCCCAAATGGGGTCACGAAGAGTCTGATAGGACTAAGCAACAACAAGCAAAGTTTTGAGATTTGCTGTGCTGCTAAGCCTCACTCCAGTGGTCCCCGGTTACTTCTACTCTCATCCAGCATTTGGCCTGGTTTAAAAGAAGTCATTATAAACCATGACTGCATATCCTGAAGCCACACAATAGAAGAGAACTTAGATTCCCCCAAATCTCAGAGTTGGAAAGGCATCTAGTCCAATTTCTCTCCACCTGGTATCAGAGACTCCTCTATAACTTGTTGAAAACTGTCCTTTGGCTGCACAGAGAATAGAAGGGAACAGTGGACTTTAAGGGACTCATAAATGTTCAGAACTGACCTGACCCTGATATCCCCACACAGTCAGACTGCTTATTTTATTTATTGTGCTAGGATAAAAGTGTAGCAAGAAGAGGAAACAAAAAGGAGATTTTCCCTATTTGCCACATATCTTGGATATTCGGAAGGCTTTCAAAAATACTGTTTATCTACTTACCATCCAGTTGCTTTTACTATTTTCTTGGTGGTAGGCTATATCATGGATTAAATCTTTTACATAGTCATTCCATAAGTGTGTTGTATTGAATGTGAGCACAAAGTCATTTGCTGCCTCTCGGTAGGTGATATTTATGTCAAAAGGAGCTTCAGGCTTAACTAGAAAGGGTAACAAAAAACAGGTCAGTATATAGGGCAGATAGGAAGGATAAACAAGAAGGTGACCCCTTTCTCTAAACCTGCCCCCTCTCTGAACCCCTAACTCTCATTCTTTTTTTTTTCTTTTTTGGCTAGGCAATGGGGTTAAGTGACTTGCCCAGGGTCACACAGTTAGTAAGGGTTATGTGTCTGAGGTCAGATTTGAACTCAGGTCCTCCTGAATCCAGGGCTGGTGCTCTATCCACTGCACCCCCTGAACCCCTAACTCTCATCCCTGCCTATCTCTCAGGGTTGTGAGGATCAAATGAGATAGTCCTTGTCACTTTTGCCTGGCCCATATTCAGCGTACAAGAAATGCTTGCTCCATTCCTCCCTTCCCCTGCCTGGCCCCAAAAGGAGAGCCAATCAGCTCAGTTTCAATAACATCATTAAATTCAATGACAACTGGAGTCAGATTCCTCAACATTTAAGTACCCTCAATGCTCCAACTAAGCATCACGTTGGCGTGGCCCAGAAGGCGGAGTGGTATGGTATGGATGTCTGACCTAGAGAGGAATCCAGAGACCTGGGTTCTAGTTCTGGTTTTACCACTGTGGGGCCTTGGTCCAGTCGCTTGTACCTGCTATGTTTCATGCCCTCCAAGAACTGTAACTAGGGTAGGGCTGCCAGGTCTTAGGCCCTGGGCTCTGTACTTAGAAGATACCAAAAGCACTTGCAGTCTTCAAAAAGAAAAAAACAACAATAAGAACAACAGAGCTTAGCACTTTGTTAGCGAGAAGAGCTAGTTAAAATAGGAAGCTAATGGAGACCTCATTTCTTTCCTCCCACGTGAATGCCTACCTGGCCAGCCCTGATCTGTTCTCTTTCTTCCTACCTACTCTCCTATAAGCGACAGGCCATGAGCAAGGGACGATGTCATAGCTTGAGGACACCTTCTATGCCCCTCACCCAGTCATGATTTGGGCTGCCCCAGATTGCCTGTGCTTACTCTATGGCCGCCTATGCCCATATGCTAAAATTGCTACTTAGGTCCCTGGCTCCTCATCTGAGGATGATATTTCAAATCATTTGAATAATTTAATGACCACATGAGAGCCTGCTATGTTTGAGTTAGTGAAGATACAATGATGAAAAAAGATAAGTTTCTGCCTCTAAAGAACTTAGAATGTAGTTAGTAGGGGGATAGAATGCATATCCAAATAACTATCATGTATAATAATAATAATAGTAATAACTGTAGAAAGTGCAATGAGGAGGTCCAAGTGGAGTGGTTAAAGAGATTCAAGGAAGAGGACATCATTTTTATCTTGGAGGCTCATGGAAACCTTCAAATCCCCTGCCAGGGGCAGGGCAGGAGCCTCCAACCAAATGCTCCCCAAAGGGGAGGGACACCTGAACTGAGTCTGGAAGAGAGGAGAAATGCGGGATGAGGGTCCATCAATATCAAAGAAGAGAACTGTGGGTGGTTTCAGTAGTACAAGGGGTTAGGATTGCAAGCATCTTTGAGAGTCTTCCAAGCTTGGTAGTTGAGCCAGAGGCTCAGCTTCCTGCCCATCTCTTGCAAGGTTCCCTGTTCTGCCCCAGCCAGGAGGTCGCCCACTCACTCTAGCTGAAGGTGTGGTTGCTGCTGAGTGGGTGGCCTATTTGTTTGCAGGGCTGATCTCAAACAGAGATAGGATCCATGGAAGGTTTGGCATCTAACCAAACCTAGAGGTAAAGAGAAAAGAAATTAAGCGCAAACTTATCTTCCTGGGCAACTGAGTCTACTCTTCTGTTTTGAAGGTTCAGAGAATCAGTTCTTCGTGATTGGGTGAGGAATGCTATCACAACATATACAAATGACTGCTGCCACCTCTGGGACAATTCATATGTACTAAAACATCACTCACATGGGAAAACCCATTAATAGTAATCAGAAAAGCGAAGGAAGGAGGGAGATTGCGGACAAACGCAGAGATCAAAGAGCAAGGTATAGTCTTTTCTCCTGACTCCATTGCTGGTAGACCACTCTTTTCCTCCAATCCAAATCCTTCTCTTCTCTCAAGACCCAAACGGAGTCTGCTTTTCCACTAAAAATCTCAGAACCTAAGCCCATTCCTCAAGGACTTTCCCCCTCCCTAGTCCTCTCCCTTTTCTCCTCTTTCCCCTCTGGAATGCCTTCTATTTAATGGCTCCTCTTTGCCCACAGAATCAAGTCCATTATTCAAGATCTGCAATCTGGTCCCAAACAACTCAATGAATTCAGTTCAACTAAATTCAACAAATATGAATTGCCCAACTGAGTTAGTCTGTGGAGGACACAAAGGCAAAAATAACACCATCCTGGATCTCAAGGCCATAATATACTTGGAAGGACATAACATATGTACACACACAAAAATATAAGAGTTGAAGGAGTGAAAAGCAGAAATCCAAGGTGTCGAAGAATATCTGAGGAGGAAGAGATCCTTCTCAGCTGAGGGGATCCAGGAAGGCTTCATGGAGGAGGCACTTTCCTTTAGTAGAATGTTAGCTCCTTGAGGGCAGGGACGTTCAGATTTTGTCTTTTTTTCCCCCAAGGCTTAGTACAGTGCTTGGCAAACATTGACAGATACTTACTGAGTTGAATCACAAGAGAGTGAGTAACAAGGCAGATATTTAAATAGGTTCCCTGACTCCAGAGCCATCTTTCCTTCCATTATGCCAAGTTAAAGCATTAAAATAAATAAATATTAAATAAAAATTTATTATTATTTGGCTCTGTCAACACACTGATGTGCACCAATCAGCAACTAGTTTTTTGTCTGAATCAGTTGGTTACCAAGTAGTTATTAATATGTATTTGATAAAAGTCAATAATGATCATTCAATAACTACCCGATTCAATCAAAATGGTTACACTGGAGATGCATAAAGGCATAGACACAGAAGAATAGGCTTCCAACTGAAGGAGATTAAAATTATCAAATACTTTTATACATTATTCTATTCTAAATTCATTGCTGTCCTGGGAGATCGGTATTAATGGTCTTGGTATTTTCACTTATAACTAAAGTAATGGAAGTTCAGAGAGGTTATGTGATTTGCTGAAAGTCACACAGCAAGTAAATACCAAAGCTAGGGCCTGAATCTTGTTGTTTTCCTTGTGGCATGCTGAGTAACAGAGCAGAAAATACTCTAAGAAGAATAAAGGAAAATGAGGAAACAGTCCAGAAAGAAAGAACTGTACTTTGTTGGTGGTAGAAGGAACAAAGTCTATTCTTTTTCTTTTTTTTTAATAAAAAATTATTATTTATTCTTAAAATGCTTTTCTTTTTAAATTTTGAATTCCAAATTCTCTCCTTCCCTTCCATTCCCTCCCCCCCCACTAATTGATAAAAGCAATGGATCAATTACACATGTGAAATTATGCAAAAAATATTAGCCATTTTTTAAAAAAGCAAGAAAAATAAATAAAGTAAGGAAATTTTACTTCAATTTGAACAAAGTCCATTCTAAAGGTCATAAAGTGCTGCTCCTCTCGCTCTCTTTCTCCTCAAGTATATCACCTCCATCATCACCTCCTCAGGGCTTAAGTGTTTTTCTCAGTCCTTTGTCAAAAATATGAACTCCTCATGTAAACTACTTTCACAATTAGTCAATTTAGCACAAAGTAAAGTTATTAAGTCTTGTCACCAAGATTATCTCCAGAAATTTAAACAACTACCACCTTCCCCTTTCCCATTGTGTAAAGTCTTACCTATTTTGGTTATCTTCAGTGTTTTGCAATTCACCTTACTTTTTCCAAGTATCACGCACAACTCACAAATATTAATCAGTGAAAATGATCTTGATTTCATAAAATAATCCTTTTCTCTTTTCGTCATCATCTCACATTGTGTGTTGGACATGAATGCGCCACTGTGGAATGAGATACAAAGCCAATATAAACCTAGGACTTCTTGCTAACAATGATGATGAGTAGATCTGATGCTGTACCCCTCCATGGTACCTATCTCTCTGCCAGGATCTAGCTGTTAGAAAACAAAAGGAGAGTCCTCTGCCCCTCAAATTCCTAGAGTGGAATATAAACCCAGCCAAACAGCCTTGGCAGACAATCTGTCCAGGGCAAACCAAGGGCAGGTCTGGTGCCCACAAATAACTCAGTGATATTTAAAAAAAAAATAGTCTGTGATCACTCTCCATAGAATGCCAGGCTTGACTCATTTTTTTTCACATTAAAATGTTTTATTCATGATTTTTATATGACTAATTTTCTGATGAAACCCCCACCCTTATAGAACCCTCCCTTACAAATAAAGAAAACAGTTAAGTACAACCAAGTAAGACAGTGACTTTTTCTAACAGAATATGCCCTATTCTGCATCAACAGTTCCCAACCAGTACCACAAAGAAGGAGAGATAGCAATCTGGTCCCAAACAACTTAACTATCTTTTATTTATTTATTTTGGGCTAGGCAATGGGGTTAAGTGACTTGCCCAGGGTCACACAGCTAATAAGTGTTATGTGTCTGAGGCTGGATTTGAACTTAGGTCCTCCTGAATCAAGGGCCAGTGCTCTATCCACTGCGCCACCTAGCCGCCCTGAGATAACATTATTTTTAAAGGAAAATGATGCTCCCCTGGGATTAGAGATAAAGAAAGGGGTAGAACAAAGTAGGGATTACATCAGGTATGCTTTCTCTCCTGCTTTGCAGAAAACTGTCTATCTTCAATTGTTAGAATCGGGTTCTGAGTATGACTGAATGATTTTATGTATACTCTGCTTCTCATTTTCTTGGTATAATCAAGTTGAAATATTATGCATTGGTTCCTGGACCTTCTGAAGAGGGAACAGCCTGCCTCCCTGTGAGGTGGCTGAGCCTGGAAATTCTGAGGTAAATCTGCCACATTCATATGCAAAGTCTCCCACTATCAAACTGCTGTAGTACATGCTTACAAATAATTAAATGCATTTACTTGTAGGGAATTACTTAAAATCACCCCAATGCAATACTTAAAAAAAAATCATCATATATAGTTTGTCACTAGAAATTTATACAAATCAAGGCAACAATGGTCAAATCCTATATAATCTCAGTGTAAAAAAATTTTGCTAAGTATATTGATTTTGTTGTCTTGGGACTTTGAAAGACCAAGCAAAGGCATACTCACATATAGTTGTCTTGACTAAGGTCATTTTGAAATGCAGCTACCACCCCCAAATTGGGGGGTTCCCATTTTGCCATCCCTCATCAATCCCCTTATCCTGGCATGGTAGCCCTTTGGGAGTATTTGATTTCTATTCCTCTTATTCCTCCATCCAAATAGTTCAATTGTAGCATACTTTTGACTATGGAGCCTGGCTGTGTGAGTTCCAGGAAGTGTAGTTTGAAGAAGACAAAACTGTCTTCTTCCTGTTCTGGAAGGAGTGCATGGAGGCAGGATGGGGAATTTGAGCTCAGCTCTTCCTGGGCTTCTGAAGAGGAAGGGGCAGCCTTACTCTGAAGGAGGCTACGGCATCATTGAGCAGCACACATGATAAGGAGAAAGGAGCTGTGGGAGAAAGGAGCACTAGATACTTAGTGCCTTTATCTGTCAAGGTAGATGGGGCAAATGGGACAAGTGTGATCAATGTGGGGAGTTTTGTTAATTTCTCCCTGGCCAAGAATCCAGGCAGCCAACCAGTGTGGTGGATGTTATTTATTCCAACCTTTCATGTTTTACATCCAGATGAAATTTTCTGACACCTCTGGAGTCCTTCATGTGGTAACACCCTACTAGCATTTCCATGAAACCTCTATCAAGGTTCAGCCTAGCCCAACATTCCCCACGATTCTCTCTCATCATCTCAGACTTCTGGAACGATAGATTTTAAGCTTCTTTAGCATAGATTTTGGCTGTTTTGAAATGATCTCACATTTTATGGTGTTGCTGCTATAGAACTAATTATTCTTCCCCCACTTCTCCCACATTTCATTTGAAATCATGTCTTCACAAAAACTATCAATGACCTTTGGTGAGTTATACCGGTAACATTTTTAGTCCAAAGGGATGAACCCGGATCAATGTTATTTTTTATCCCTTTTATTCATTTGAATGATGGTTTAGTTTAATGAACTAAGAACAGTGCTGCAATAAAGTATCTGCCAGGTCATGTTTATAATGGAAATGGACTCCAGTGAAGTGTAATGAATTTGAAGCTCTTGATGTATTTGAAGACAGCAGCCACACTGTCATAGCCTTCTGCCTCTTGAGTGGATCTGATTCCATATGCTCTATGTACATCTAAGAGATATATAGATCTTCCCACCAAAATGACTTTTTTAAATCACACCTTAATCCACCTGCTAGTTAATGCCAGCTATTACAGAGTCAGGTTTTCACATCAGTTCCCAGAACCACTGGGATCCAGCATCCTCATAGATAGCTAGGTGTCTCAATGGATTGAGCACTGGACCTGGAGTCAGGAAGACCTGAGTTCAAATCCAGCCTCAGACACTTACCAGCTATGTGACGCTGGGCAAATTACTTAACCTCTGTCTGCTTCAGTTTTCTCATCTGCAAAATAGGGATAATAGTAGCACCTACCTCCCATGATTATTGAGAGATTAAAATGAGATAAATATAAGGCACTTTAGAAACTTTAAAGCATTATAGAAATACTAGCTACCTCTACTGCTACTACTGCTGCTAGTGCTACTGCTACTGCTACTGCTACCACTTCTTCTTCTTCTTCTTCTTCTTCTTCTTCTTCTTCTTCTTCTTCTTCTTCTTCTTCTTTTCTTCTTCTTCTTCTTCTTTTCTTCTTCTTCTTCTTCTTCTTCTTCTTCTGCTGCTGCTGCTGCTGCTACTACTACTACTACTACTACTACTCTACTGCTATTTATCTTTTTCCAACAAAAAAAAACTGAGTTTGGTGGTATAGATGCTTGCTCACTTTGATACCTTGAAAGATCTCACTATGTGAAACTTATATCCACCAACATAGGATCACAACCTAACATAACTCATCTATTTCTCCTGGAGATCCCCAGCTGGAGAAGGTACTAAGTGGAGCCATCCTCCTTTTTTTTGTTCCCTAGGTCACCCAGAGCCCACCTCTATCTTTCTGCCAATGTTCCTTTCCCTATTTCTCCTCCTGACCAGACATTGACCTCCTCCTCCATTCTGCCCCTTCTGGAGGGAATCTGGAATTCTTTCCCCATTCTGACTCATAGGCTCGCTCACTTATCCCCTACATCCCAATAGTGGTCAGCTAGTCCCTTCAAGTTTCCTCCCCTGCCTCCTCCCCATGGGACAGAAACTCTCTTGCCCCCTAAAGAATCATAGGCTTTGCCTTCTGTTCTGTTGCTGCTGTGCTCTTAGGAGCTCTGTGCCTTTCCATCTACCCCTGCAGCTGAACTCTCCCCTTTGTGTTGTCTCCTCTAATTAAAATGTCATTTTCTTGAGAGCAGGAATTATCTTATTTTTCTATTTATACACCCAGAATTTAGCACAGTGCTTGGCACATAATGCTTAATAAATGCTTTTTCATATATGTTTTCACTGGACCCATAAAACAGATGGTATAGAAATACCAGAAACATGCTGTGGGATAAATCCAAATATTTGACAGAGTATAGAGGTTATAGCATGGTCAAATACTATGAAAGCAAAAGTAGATTGAATATTCATCCCACGTGCCCACAATTGGTGCTGAAGCAATCAATTGAAGAGTAAAAAATAGTCATGAGCAAATCCGTTATTTGGCATGCACCATGTCAAGCAAATTTTTTTCATGAATTTTTTCTAAGACAATGAATTATTTGCATTGCAATTTGCATTTGCAATAAATTATTTTTGCATCATCTACTCACAGTCTATAATACACTGCAACACATCCCCTCTCCCTTTAAACTACTCTGTATTCCTGGAAGCACGTTGAAGAAGGATCATTACAAAGCTGACTGAGCATTCATATATGTGCCACTGAATTTGCTCGAATGTGTTCCACATCACCAGCATAAACTGATGTAATAACAATAATAATAGCTCATGTTATATTTACACTGCATTTTGTTTTTCCCTTTGCAATAACCCAGTGAGGCAGAAGTATTATGAAAGATGACAAGAAGACAAGCAGATGAAGACGGCTAGAAGCAGAGCCATTGATTTAGGTAGTGTCAAAGGAGTACAGTGGTAAAATGCGAAACAGAGGCAGCTATAGAATAGTGGGGAGAGAGCTGGCCTTGGAACCACAAAGACCTAGGTTCAAGTTCCGCCTGAGCCAAAACCTAACTATAAGCCCTTGGGGAAATCACTTAACCTGCCAGTGCCCCCAGGCAGCTTTCTAAGATTATAAATTGCAGAGAAGGTACTAATTTCCCTTGGTAGAGAAAGTCCTCTCACTATGAATTTCCTTTGTCAATGAAATCATAGACCCAGTTATGTCATTGGTCCTTTTTGAAAACAAAGGACAAACAACAATAACAGACCCAGTTACAAAGTAGGCACAGTGGAAAGTTGGGACTGCTTGTATTATGGATTGTATCGTGGCTGACTGAGTAGCTCTAAGACATTGCAACTACCTGACTTTGTGTCATTAACTTGGATCTGTTTCAAAGCTGACGGTTAAGACCATCTACTTCTGAAGGAGGGGCTGGTCTTCTATGAAGTGAAGTTTCAGACAAGCAACATATATACACAATATATACATATACATATATACATGTTGTATAAATAATGCTTGTATATATAATATATAATATAATGCATATATATAGCTTAGATATTAATGACAGCCAAAAGATACTTTGATATAGCAAGCTGCCTTGTTATTGAACTAACAGTACCTCTCATCTATACTATCTCATGTCATCTTCACAACAACTTTGTTGAGGTGAGGATAAATCATTTCTTCAGGCAAGGAAACTGAGTTGCCAAGGTCACACAGCTAGAAAGAGGCAGAGCAGGGCTCCAAGTCTCTGGATTCGTGCTCTTTCCACTATACCACAAACTAAATGGTGCTTTTGTTGTTTTGTTGTTCCCTTTCCTGCTTATCTCCTATTACTCATGAGAACCATGATCCCAATTCTACCCATGGCTGTGTATACATTTAATTCAATTAAGCAGATATTTATTAAGCACCTACCATGGGCAAGGCACTATGTTAGAAACACAAAAGCCACTGAGGTCCACAGTTGATGTGTAGCAAAGTGGCGAAAGGACAGCTGGAGAATCTGAGTCAATTTTTTTTTTCTGAAATTGTTTTTGTGTAGTTTTTCCTTCATTCACTTCATCTAGGGCTTGGGATTGAGGTTCTATGATTTGGACTTTCATAATCATGGAAATCTATTCCATCTATTCATTTGGTTGCTCATTCTACAGTTAGAGGTTGATAAGTAGAGAGGAATTATTTCTCACTTGGGGAAATGATTTTAAAAAGGATTTCATAAAGATGCTCAAGGTATTTGGATATATTGTGAAAAAACTAGGAATGTCCCTCTCCTCTTATGGCCAAGTATATAGTTGTTGCATAGAAATCCTGGGCTTCATTCATACCTGGTCCACCTAAATATAAGCATAAATGAGATAGGGCTGATTTAGTATTATCCGAGTGGTTCTGCAGCTGACTTACTGAGAAAAATGGACTAGATGCAGCGCGTGGCACAATGGATAGAGCACTAGACTTGGACTTAGGAAGACCTGAGTTCAAATCCATCCTCAGACACTAGCTTTGTGGTTCTGAGCAAGTTACTTAACTTCTGCCTCAGTTTCCTCATCTGAAACAGAAGGGATAACAATGGCACCTACCTCCCAGAATTATTGTGAGGATACATTGAGATAGTATTTGTAAAGTGCTTTGCAGACCTTTAAAGCACTATCTAAATATTAGTTGTTGTTGATGTTGTTAAAGACCTGGGTTCTAGTTCTGTCTCCAGACTCAACTAATCTTGTGACCCCAGGCAAATCACTTCATCTCTTATATGCTCAGTTTCCTCATCTAAGAAATGATGGAATCAAGCCAGATGATTTCAAACATTCCTTCCCACCCTCACAGCATATGAGTCTATGTGTCCCCCAAGAGGAAAATCTCTGTTAAGCTCAACAGAGTATTTCTCTAATTGGTGGCTATGAGGAAACTTCAGAGAGGTTTGGAGCTATAATGACCTGCATGACAGTTTGGTAGCTGGGGTAGCAAACTCTGTTAAATGAATTTGAGTTCCCGTCTTTCATTTCCTATACCTCCCTTTTACACACTCCCTTCTTAGTCTTTCCTAGCATCTAGAATCTAATATTAAGCATAGGAGGAAATAGGAGCTACAGAGCTACCGAGGAGAGAGTGTGAAGATGAACTGAGGATCTGTGTGTTTATGATGATTCATGTATGCATGTGCATGTGTTTGTGTGTACTAACAATCGTTCTAAGGGAAGTTAGAGTATTCATGAAATGGAAAAGTTGAATACTTCTGGCATCAATATAAGAAGTCTTTTTTTTCCCAGGAGTATGACACACAGAGGTACTAATAGAGGTTTTGTACCTTCTACCCTCCCCCCCAAACAAAAACAAAAAGCCTCAATGATTTCTCACCATAGCTTGAGCCCCAAATTGGTGCTGTTGAGTGACGAGTCATTGAAAGAACAAGTCAGAGTGTGCTGCTGGCCATGGACTTGCAATTGGCTATAGCAAGTGAATTCATAATCATCTTGTTCCTCATCTTCAAATTCATCTGGAGAACAGCACAGAGATTATTAGTCAAGCAAGAGATTGCATTAATTTAAGATGTGGGATATGCAGCAAGAAATAGATGATTTATTTAAGATACTTTTAAAAAAATTAATATTTTTTATTTATCAACCACACTTCCATAATTAAGATACTTTTCTGAGGGCACCAAAGGGCAAAGTCAGGTTTTCTTTATGAAACAATAAAAATAATCATAAATGGGGTGGTGTCAGGGGAAAGAGAGATGAGGTTGAAAAAAGATCTAACATGTACCCAGAAATAACTTCATGATTTAAAAGACTGTCATGATATGTGCTCTCTTCCCCTTATTTTATCTAATTTGTATCATATTTATTTATGAATATGCCATCAATTACTTAGAATAGACAGCAAAGTTTTAGAGGGAAGGGATTGTTTTATTTTTCATTGTATCTCCAAGCAATCTTAGCATAGCATCTCACACGTAGTATTTGTATAGGATCATAAGGTTAGAGATACTAGGGAACTTGGAGGTCATCTTGTCCACTCTCCTCTATTTCACAGATGAGAAACTGAGTCTCAGAGATGTGAGGTGACTTGCCTAAGGTTACATAGGTACCAAGTAGCAGAGCCAGGGTTCAAATCCAGATTGTGTGATGACACACCCAGTACTCTGTCCAGTATGCCATGCTGTGTCTTAGCTATTTAATAAATTTGAAAAAAAAGTTTGTTGAACAGATTAAAGTAGTAAAAAGTAGACATTGTGCAATGATTGAGTGTGTTTCTTCATCTAGACTGAGTTTAGCTTTGCCGCTGGAATGTACATGAAAAAAAAAAAACATTTCTTAAGTACTTTCTATGTGCCAAGTACTGTGCTAAATGCTGTGGGTACAACTGGAAAAACCAAAAGACAGTCTCTACTCTCAAGGGACTCACATGCAATAATTGAGGAAGATGATAAATAAAATAAAGTTCAGCTTATGCTCTTTGGAGCTCATTTTCCTCTTCTGTAAAATCTAGGTGGCAGATAAAATGAATTCTAGGGTCCCTGCCAATACCAAAATTCTCTGTGATGCTTTAATTGATCTATTTGCTTGGTTAATTGTAAGTCAGAGATAATACACATGATTGCTTTGGTTCTTAACCTAGAATCTGAATTTACTATTGCTTTTAATTTCTTTTTTTTTCTTTATTAGGGGAAAAGAGCCAATAAACCTAATAATATAATAAGAATGGAATGGGAATTTATTAAGAGTCTACTACATACTAGGTACTGTGCTAAGCGCTTTACAAATACCACCTCATTTTATTCCCCACAACAATCCTGTGAGGTAAGTGCTATCATTGTCTCCATTTTACAGGTGAAGAAACTGAGGCAAATAGGTTAAGTGACTTGTTCAGGGTCACACAGTTAATAAGTTTCTGATACTATATTTGAACTCAGATCTTTCTGAGTCCAGGCCCAGCACTCTATTCACTGTGCCACCTACTTGCCTCTAATAATAACAGTTGACATGTATGTAATGATGATAATAATAGCTAACATTTATGTAGTACTTACTATTTGCCATTTGCTAAGCACTTTATAATTATCTCATTTTATCCCTACAACAACAAGGTGAGGTAGGTGCAATTATTATCCCCATTTTATAGATGAGGAAACTGAGGCAGACAGAGGTCAAGTGACTTTCCCAGGGTCACACATCTGTTAAGTGTCTGAAGCTAGATTTGAACTCAGGCCCAGTGTGTGCTATCTACTGTACCATCTAGCTGCCTCTAATAATAACAATTGACTTTTACCTGTAGTGCTTTAAAGGTTTGCAAAGTGCTTTCATACATTATCTTATTTTATTTTCATAACAATCTTATAAGTGCTACAGATCCCTATTTCACAGGTGAGGAAACTGAGGCTAAAAGGTTAAGTGTGCCTAGAGGCATACAAATTAGTAAGTTTCTGAGGTGGTATTTTCACCTACATCTTCCTGACTCTAACACTATGCATTATGTTATGCTTATCATCACAGATCCAGACTCTTGACTCAGTGGGTCACTTTTCCTACCCACTTAGTATGGGATCTTAGCTAAGATACACAACCCCACTAACAGATGGTGATGTGACAGTTTGTTTCAGGGGGCAACTGGGATGGCAAAAAAGATTCTAGATTTCGAAAGGGAAGGCCTCAAGTCTATGTTATATAAGAATTAAGTCTGAGAAACAGGAGATACTTAGCCTAGAGACAAGAAGACTTTGGGGAGACATGATAATTGTCTTTAAGTATCTGAAAGGTGGTTATATTAAAGAGGGATAAGATTTATTTTGTTTGGCTCCAACAGGTAGAGCCAAGGGTTAATAGGTGCAAGCTATAAAGAAGAAAATTTAAATTTGATGTCAGGAAAAAAATTCCTAATGATTAGAGCTGCCCAGAAATGGAACTGACTACCTCAAGAGCTGGTGGGTTTTTCCCCCTTAGAAGCCTTCAAGTACTGGTTGGATGACCATTTGTTGTTGTATGTTATGAAATCTAGTTGGAGTTCTTATTTGGGTATAGGTTGAACTAGCTGATTTCTCAGCTTCAAAATTCTGTGTTAGACCCATGAAGGCATAATTTCTGTGTAAGACATTTTCTAGGAAGTTAAGAAAGATCACACTGGATCAAATCCATAGACTATTCAGGGCAGAGCTATAATTTCCAATGAAGGACCAAAGGACATAAATCCTTCCTCTCCCTGATGCAAGCTGTAAAAAAATAGGCATATTCAAGCCTTTATTAGTCACTGTTTCTGGCTCATAAGTTTGTCACAGCTGCTTGATTCCACTTCTATTGGATGTTTGTACTGCATCGTAGGATAAGGAGTTTCTTACATTTCTTAACCACCACGTGAAGCAGCTTTCTCTCTTATTTGTCTTCCTTTACCTTCTTCAAGTTTCAAAGGGTACAAATGTAGGTTGACCTGAAACATACTTCATGAATTTATGAAATCAATATCTTCCTCCTCCTATTTTGCTTTCCCAGACAGAAAAAGATTTCCTCTCTCCTCCTCCAACTCCCTCCTCCCTTCCATCTCCTCCCCCGCCTCCTCCTCCTTTCCTTATTTTTGGCCCTAGCATTTCCTTTCCCGTCGTTCTATCAGCTCCTCTTTGGACCTTCTGTAGTTCTATTATGCATAGTCATTATAATATGTTTTGTTAATCCACATAGGAAGATAGACTATGGGACAAATTTAGGGGAAGGTTGGTTTTCACAGGGTGGTTCCGATCTGTTATCTCATTGGCATGAGGGAACTTCTGGTATGGAAACTCCTCCCTCCCCTCACTGATACAGATCAACTACTAGCCTGTATTTTATGGTCTTAGTCAGTTGCCTAGACCACTGAGAAGTGACTTGCCCAAGGTTCCATAGCTCCATCAGAGATAGAACTTGAACCCAGGTCTTCCAAGACTTGCCCTCTGTCTCACTGTGGGTTAGATTAAATGTATCAAACCCAGAGCAATCCAAGATTAGTCTATAATGTGATCAGCACTGGCATTAGAGAGCTGTTTCATGGAACTTAGTTTGCCTCAGTGTATTAGCTACACTGTGCATAGAGTCAACCATCCTCTCATTAAAGTGCTTGTTTTTTATTATTTATTTATTTATTTATTTTTTAGGCAATTGGGGTTAAGTGACTTGCCCAGGGTCATACAGCTAGTAAGTGTCAAGTGTTTGGTCTGAGGCCGGATTTGAACTCAGGTCCTCCTGACTTCAAGGCTGGTGCTCCATCTACTGCACTACCTAGCTGTCCCAAAGTGCTTCTTTTTAGAAGCAATTTCTTGACTGTTACCTTACATCTTGGTCCTAACACATACTAGCATGTTTCTCTACCTTATTGAGCCTTAGTTTATTCATCTGTAAAATGGGGATAATACTTGGTACTACCTATCCAGCAGGGTTATTGTGAGGAAGAAACTTTGTAAACCTGTAACCATTGCATAATTGTGAGTGGGTGAAGAGGTTGCAACAGTGTAAGGATGCTGCTGGGGATTCTTGTCCCTGAGCTTACAGGAGTTTTTTTTTCCTTTGCAAACAGCATTTCGCAAGTGACTGGAATTCTCAAAAGTCCAAGGAAGCTGAAAAGTCTTCGGATGACTCAGAGGGTAATTTAAACAAAAGCTCCAAAATTCAGACCTTGTTGATGTTAGAATCCTTGGCTCTCTTCCAGGTTCAGCTCAAGCACCACCTCTTTCAAGAAACCTTTCCTGAATGTGCTAGTTGTTAGTGGCTTCTAACCAGCTGTTGTTGTGCAGTCATCCAGTTGCATCCCACTCTTTGTGACCCCACAGCCCATAGCATGCCAATACTGTCCATGGAGTTTTCTTGGCAAAGATACTGGAGTGGTTTGCCATTTCCTTCTCCAATGGATTAAGGCAAACAGAGATTAAGTGACTTGTCCCGGTCACACAGCTGATAAGTGTCTGAGGCTGGATTTGAACTCTGGTCTTCCTGACTCCAGACTCAGTGCTCTATCCCCTGAGCCACTTAACTGCTTCCTAACCAATTACTGTGTATTTATTTTGCAAATATTCTATATTTATTTATCTATGGTCGTGTATGTTGTCTCCTCCCAGTGTGAGGAGGAGACATCAACTTTGTTTATCAAGCATTTAACTTAGTGCCTGACACATAACAGTGGCTAAATAAATGCTATTGAAGAATTGATTAATTTATTGACTTGTATCTAATCATTCCCAAATTAAAATGTTTCGGAGTTGAGGTGATTGTTCTCCAAAGGCACATGTAGTATTTCCCCCCTGCCCTTTCACCAGAAATTAAAGCACATTCCAAGTAAAAACCAAAATTTCCACTTGAGTCACTCAAGGTTTTAAGAGAGATCATGTAAAAAAAAAAAGATCACAATATGTGTTAACATGCTTTTTCTATGTTCAGTATTCATTTTCTGTTCAAAGCACAAGACTGCATTTACTATGAAGTAATAAGCATCTCTGTGAAATGATTCATAATGTAGTCAGACTGTGAAAAAATGTTAATTCTGTGACTTTTGTCCTGTGATGAGAAAATGTCAGTGATTTCCCTATTTAGTAGCTATATTGTAAAATATCTAAACTGAGTCATTAAAGCTAGTGGGTTTGATTCCATCTCTTGAGAAATGTTTCAAACTATCAAAATAAAAGAACTTAATTATAGGAATGAATTGATATGAATAAACTCCCCAAAGTGCTGCTGTTTGTTTCCTTCTTGCCAACTGTTTGTTGGAATGCTCATAGGTTGGTGCTATCTCTCTGTATCTATGTTTCCTAGCACCAGGATTATCACAGCAATGGTTCATTCCTTCATTTGGATTCAGTAATGGTGGCTTGTTAAAGAAAATTTATCTATTCAGGATCTCTGGTAAGTTGATTGCAAGGAAATTATTCAGTTTTTTTCTTGACTAATATCTTCTAGAGATTTAAAATCAAGCCCAGAGGTCCAGTGGAAAGAGCAGTGGCCTGGGAGACAGGAGAGCTGGATTCTGGTCCTGTGCTTGCTGTTCTTCAGCAGGGCAAATTGTGTGGAACCTCCTAGATGGAAAGACATCTGAAGTCACCCAGTCCAACCTCTCCGGACTTTTTATTAACTGTAGAATGAAGGGGTTGGACTCTATCACCTCTAAGTTCCCTTCATGTGCCAATATTCTGCAATCTCTTCTGTTAAAAAAAAAAAACTTCAAATTTCAGTGGGTTTGCACTGTGATTTCGGCACCAAGTCCACACTTTGGAAGTTCCCTAAAGCCCCATTGAATAAACTCATAAGGTGCAAATGGCATGGAGTTTTCTACTTGGGATTAACTCTTAAAATCTACTGCTTGTGGAGGTTACAGGTCTCTATCTTTTCTTTAAAAGAAATGATATCCACCCAGATTTAAGATCCAGCTTTCAGAAAGGCTTGTTCCTTTCTTCTAGATATTTAGGATTTAAATTATAAAGCAGGAGTCAATATGATTACCCATTCTCCAATGCTCTTGATTCTTAGAGTAATCTAGTTTTTAAATGATCATCTAAATCCTCAGTCCTGATCAGAAGCACATGCCAGGTCCTTATCACTCTCCATGAGTCCCTAAGACTCTCGTGGGTCTGAACAACCCCAAAGAAGGCATCAGAGTCCCATAATCCTAAAAAAAAGTTTGAAATGACTCACCATCCTGTCCGAAGCCACTTTCTCCAGAAGAAGAGTGAAGTAAAAAGAATATGATACCAATAGTTGTACTGAGAACTGTCATTTTGAAAGACAGAGATAGAGATAGATAGATAGACAGATGGATAGAGAGAGAGAGAGAGAGAGAGAGAGAGAGAGAGAGAACCAGAGTCAGTGAGAATCTGTGCCTGTGTAAGTGAGAGAAAAAGTTGGGGATGCAGCTTTATAGACCAACACTAAGTAACTCTGTCTTGCTTAACCACAGCCAGGAGGAAATATAAACACATGAGAAATGAAGACAAGTGTCAGCAACAGGAAGCCTGAGTACTTGTTGAATTGTAGTAAGTAGAGAGGACTGCTGACTTTTTACTGGAAATGGGGGATTATGAGCCTTTGTTTGCTGCAACTCCTGGGGGTTCTTCTGGTCTCCCCCTACCTCTAAACTCATTGCACACCAAGGCAGTGGTTCCAAATAAAGTACCTAGATGGCTCATCTTCTCACTGATGAAAAATAGCCATCTAGGCTCCACACAGCATACAAAATCCCTGTTGTTGAAACCGAAAAAAAAAAGTGAGGGAAAGACTCTCAGGTCCCATCCAGCTCTCTAAAGGGTATGATTTCTTACCTGAACAGGGAGATTATGTGCCCTCCAAAGATTTTATCACAGAATTCTTTTAAATAAACTAGCTCCTTATTGCCCTTTAAGAGCCAACTCAATGTACATCCAGTCAAATGCAAGCTCCTTGAGGTCAGGGACTGTCTTTTGCTTTTTTTTGTATCCCTTGCACTTAGCATAGTGCCTGGCACACAGCAGTTGCCTACAAAATATGTGTTGAGTTGGATTTACAAAAACCTAATTTAACCACAACCTTATAGCAACCCTTTGCATGAGAAGAATTGACTGTTCCTTATTTTGGGCAGGCATTTTCACATTACTTCTTTAAGGTCAAATCATTAAATAAATATATATTAATATACAAAATGAGATTTAGTGGGTATGGAACTGGTCTTAGAGTCAGAAGAATGGAGTTCAAGTTCCACTCCTGACACATACTGACCATCGGATTCTGACCAAGTCATTTAAGCTCACAATGCTCTGGGCAATGTTCTAGGATTATAAAGTTGGAGAGAAGATGATACCTGCATTGACAGAAGGAGGTTCTTCACATAGGGAGATCCCTATACCAACAAAAGCATAGATCCAGTCCCTATCCCTGTATGTATAATATACATTTTTGCCTATAAATAATACAGAAATCTATATCTATAATATATAATACATATACACATATATCTATATAGGATAGATTCTATGCTATAAGATATTTTAGGTACTGTACTGTAGATACAATAGTATACATATCTACATGTCAGTATCTACATATATTATATACCTGCATATCATGTATGTACTTATTTTATGTAATTTATTTATATATTTATAACTAGCTATTATCTATCTACTGTCTATCAATCTATCTACCTATAATAATGGGGTTTGAAAAAAAACATGGTGGGAGGGATGAATTATCAAAAATAAGTTGGGAAATGAGTGTGTCTGGTTACCTGAGCCATGATCATTGGCACATCTCCTTTGTGCAAGTAAGCTGGAATCAAGAGAAGACCCTTAGAAATAGTATAGAAATAGTAACATGGAAGTCTGACAGAGGTCAGGAACTTTGAAATCTATTACACAGGTTCTGTCACAGAAACAGAGTGGGAAAGGACGATAGAAGTCATGTAGTTCAGCTTTTATTTTGCAGGTGTGGAAACTGAGATCCAGAAATGTGAATAGAGCTGTTATTCAAACCTATGTCTTCTCACCCTGAGTCCTTGACTTATCCCACTATACTGACTATCTGTGAGTGATATTTGCCTTAGGGAAACCTTGTTTAACAACATAATGGTCTAGATGGAGATGTATTATCTGCTGGACTCACAACTTTTAGGAGAAATTGAGGCTAGATACTGTCTTAAGACAAGAGGAAATGAAGCCAAGCCCCACCCAAAGGGGTGATCAGCCATAGTTATTGGCCAATTAATTTACTTCAGGCAAATCAATCAGAAATAGGAAGGTCAAATGTGAGTTAGAAATATCTGGGATGGGGACAATAGAAAATGAGTTTCATTGCTTGAGGTCTTTTCCAAAGACTCTGGCTGCTGGAGAATAATCTGACTTTCTTGGAGAGAATGAAGAGGAAGGAGGGGAGAGGAGGGAAAGGCAATACCAGTCCTTTGATTCTCTGGATTCTAGTGAGGAACATTGGTATCCATGAGAGAAGCTGAGAATAAAAATGGCAGCATTGGGTGGGTGGGGAAGGATGGGAAGGGGAAGTTTCCCTCCTCCTTTCTTTTCCCCTTCCCTCTCTTCCTCTTTTGTTCCTTTCTCTTTCTTTCCTTTCCTTGAAAGGGAAATAATATATTCACAGATAAGTAATAGAAGGTGAAGGAAGCCATTACAAGTTTAGTGCAGGTCACTGTGAGGCTCATGGATATGTCTCCTGGTCACACAGGCAAGTACCTTCTGCTAGCCCAGAGTTCCATATCCAGATATAAGAATAGGAAGAAGGTTCTAGGAAGAGTGAGAAAGCTAACACTCTTGTCATACCATATCCATTAAATAAATCTTGGTCTAGGAGCCCAGGAGTGTAGTCTATGACCCAACTGGGATAGGATTGGGGCAAGCTCAGAAAAAAAATAATAACAGGGTTCATCTGGAGGAGTAGAGGGTCAGGAACTTCAAGGAAACCAGAGGAAAAAGATATGAAGGAACTAGATTCAGCAGTATCAGACCTTAAACCATATTATAAAGTGAGAACTGTGTTGAAGTATAAAATGGATAATTTTGAATATTTTAAGTTAAACTTTTCCTGTATAAATAAAACCTATGTAGCCAAGAATAGAGGGAATGAAGAAAATTGAGGAAAAACTCTCACAGACAATCTCCCAGATAAAATGTGATTGGGTTGGGAATATTGTTATGGTGTAGGAAATGATGAGATTTAGATTTAGAAAAATATGGAAAGATTTGGACTTATGAAGGAAGATGCTATCCACCTACAGAGAAACAGATGACAAGTAGAAATAAGCATAGTCTGGTCTTATGTATACACGCTTGAGTATATATGTGTGTATATATACGTATGTTTATGGATATCTATGTATATGTATTATATATGTATATATATGTGTGTGTGTATATATGTGCATACACATATAGATATGGGAGGAGGAAGGGGAAAAATAAAGTAAAAACTGCACAGCAGAGGACAAAATAAAATCTACAAAGAAGCAAAGTTGGATAGTTTTGAAAACAATGTGTAGTATTTATTAGATAGATTTTCTTGAAATGGAAATTTATTGCTTTATACTGAATCCTCTCATGTTTTATTGTGTACATAGTAATTTTTTTCCTAAGTTTAAAATAAATTAAAAACTTAAAAAAAGGATTGGGTCCAGTTGATTGAGTTCATTAGGGATGTAAGAACTAAAATGTTGACCAGGTTAGGCAGCGGAGGTCAGTCTCAGGGTAGCGGGACCTGAGAGAGATCTAGACAGCACTTTCAGTGTGTGCGCAGGAGACCAAGGTTAACTTTTCAGACTTCTCTAAATTTGCCACTTTCTCCTTTTGGTATATTATTTTTCATCCTTGTTTAGGTAAGTCCTGTAACATTTCTGGGTAGAAGTTTCCTTTTCTGTAAAATGAGAGGGCTAGACTAGATGAAGAGAGCATTGGATCTGAACTCAGGACCAGGGTTCAAATCATAGTTCTTTCACTCTTTGACTACTTGTGTGTACTTGTGAAAATCACTTAACATTCTTGTCTTCAGTTTCCTCATCCATAAAATAGTGAAGTTTATTACCTCATTTTATGACCTCCAAGGACCTCTTCTTCTAAATCTATGCTCCTGTGATCCTGTAAGACCTGATTCCCTATCAGGACTAAATATATGATCCTATGATCTGTCAGACGAGTAGGAAGCTTTGGGTCCAGGAGGTCAGCATCTTCCCTGCTATACTGCATAGCATCTAGACCTGCCATTACATTGGCTTGGAATCTGGGTTTCTTAAAAACCATTAAGAACTTTAAAATGACCCTCAACCTAAAGTCTGTGTGTTGCATGAGCCAGTCTATCTCTTTCTTCCCCATTCTTATACAAGCAGAAAGCTGGGGTGAGGAGGTGTGTGGGGTGCTCTGAAGCCTCCTTTCAATAAGAAGCTCATGATTAACCCCAGTCATTGAAGTTCCTCTTCAGCTGGGAGACAGAGACACTCAACAAGAGGGTATCTTTCTTGCTTCTGGCCCTTTTCTAGACGTGATGGGACTCCACAGAATATTCTAGAGTAGAGAATGGAGGAATGATGGTGGAGAAAGTGGTTAGGATGGGCAGCAGCTGGCCAGGTAATTGGCTCTGCCTTTGAGAGGTTTTCCCTAAAGAATCAGGAAGGGCCCAACTCTAATGATCCTTTGAACATCTTTGTGCTCTCCAGTAAGTGCTACCCTCCTCCTTTTAATATCGTTAATTCAAGAACCTGGTTAGGAAAAACCAAGTGATAAAAATCAATACAGGTTATTCATGGGGGCGAGTCCTTTATGAAACTGCACTCTGTTGAGTTAACCAGCACTGAATCCCCTGCCAATGTTATACTTACACCTCCCTCTGTAGAGTTTACTTTAATTGGGAACTGAACTGGGTCATGTCTCTTTAAATTCTTTTGTTTATCACTTAAATGGACTATCATTTTGATTTTATCTCTTTCCTTCAGATGTGAAGAAGCAAAAGAACAAAAAAGGGCACAATATTTTGGTTTAGCTTCTGATCTTCAGCTCAGGGGATTTCCACTGGTATACTCTCTTTGGGTGGGGACAGGGGTTGCTCTCTGAGGAACCAGAGAGAAGAGTCCAAAGTAAACTGCCCCAAGAGGTGAGGCAAATGAGTTTCATTGCTTGAGGTCTTTTCCAAAGACTCTGGCTGCTGGAGAATAATCTGACTTTCTTGGAGTGAATGCAGAGGAGGGAACGGAGAGGAGGGAAAGGCAGGACCAGTCCTTTGATTCTCTGGATTGTAGTGAGGAACATTGGTATCCACGAGAGAAGCTAAGACATAAAAATGGTAGCATTGGGTGGGGGAGGGGAGGATAGACTACATCTCCACCACCATTCCTCCAATCTCCGCT